AATTTGGGGAGTGAAGCAGAGGATGAAAGATCTCTCTCCTTCTATCTCTGTAATTTTGCCTTTCCAAGAAAAATAAAATCTAAAACGCCATTGATTATTATTAGGTGGCAGAGTCCAAATGCTTATATGTAATAATTTTTGTGGGAAACTTGAGAGTTCTTAACTTTATACTGGAATCTAACCACCGTTTTTCCTATTACTTCTAGTTGGAAAGAGAAGTCTGACAACAGTTCAGACATTTTTGGTGTAACATATCTAGAAACAGTTTCTATTATGAAGATTTTCTTTTAAACACAGATTCTGGAATCAGATGTGGCGACAAGGAACTCAAGCTGATGGACACTAGAGTTCTGAGTTGACTTATTTGTTGTTCTGTTGACTTTCTCCGGTTCAGCCAGTGTAGCTCTACTTCAAAATAAATCATGGGCTACATGGCAGTGGAGGGCTGACCTTGTCATCTCTCTGTTTCTAAATCAAGGAGGAAAATATTTCTCACAAGATATTAGAGACTATGTATCCCTACAGTTTGTGGGATCAAAACACAGCCCTAAACCAATCATAGTAGAAGTGAACAGGATTTGTTATTCCTATGAGCGTCTCCAAATGTGCTCACCAGACTAGCTTTGTAAGCAGTTCACTTGCGAGAAATGTTCATTCCCGGGCCTCTGCCTAGAGTTGTGATTTACCAACTGTTTAGCTGAGAGTCAGCAACACACGACCACAAGCATCCCAACTAAAGCCCAGCTGTGAGAATGGCTGATTCAGGACAATCACATTCATTCTGTGGTCATGTGTAAACCTTCCCTAAGTAGCTGAGGACACTTAGTCCTCAAAGTACATGTTCCCTCTGCATGATTGCTCTGCCATCTTCTACACGGGTGACTTCTTACTTTTGGTTACTATTCAAATATCACCATATCAGTGGCCTTTCTAGGATAGCTATACACAAACTGGTAAGGCCCTGCGACATTTCCACACCACAGCTAACCCCTATGACCTCCTTACCAGTGTAGTCACCATCCAAGACATCCAACACTTGTCATCATCTGAAATACTTGTTTCTGACTGGAGTATTCCTACTAATCAAATTTAAGTACCATGAGAGCAAGGATTAATTCTATTTGATCACAGTTGTTTCCTCAAAGGCTAAATCACTGCCTGGCATATAATGGGCTTGAAATAAATATTTTAATTGAATAATTAGAAAACTGACACCCAAATGTAATTGGAAGACATTAAAGAATAGCTCATGGGCAGAAAAATAATAGGTTAGGGTTAGGGTTAGAATTAGTTGCCTCTGCCAAAACTAGCCACATGCAAATGGAGTGCTGGAACAAAATCCACTCATTTCATGCCTTCACATCCTCATGCATTTACTTCTATTGTAGCTAGCATGAATGCGACTGAACTTGCAAGTTGATTCTCAGCAATGGCATTGTTTGGCTAGCAAATGCTACTGATTTTTGTGTATGGATTTTATTCCCTGCAACCTCGTCAAACTCTCCCATGAGTTCCAGTAATTTTTCATAGGAATTCTTTGGTGTTCTATGTGTAGAATCTTACACTCTGCAAACAGGGCAAAGTTGACTCCCTCATTTCCTATGTCTATCCCTTGGTTTCTTTTTCTTTGTAACGGCTCAGGCTAAAATGTTAAGAACCATGCTGAACAGCAATTATGAAACTAGGCTTCCTTGTCTAGTTCTGAATCTTAGTAGAAATGCTTTCAACTGTTCCCCATTGAATATGAGTCTGGCTGTGGGTCTGTCATATACTGCCTTAACGATGTTGCATTATATTCTTTCTACACTCAATTTGCTTAAGGTATTTATTATGGATATTCTAATCCATACTCATAATATCTTTACCTTATTTATAAAGTTTTATTATTTTCAATTCTGAGGAATTCAATAATTGAATATACGGAGGCCAAATAACTCCATTTTCCTAATAACTTTCTTCCATTGTTATGCATACTATATGAAAAATTCAGTGCTATTTTTTATACTTACTCTTGTATGCTAGAATTCTGTTTCTAAAATTGTGTCAGACATAAGATAGTGACCTTATATGCACAAACAATAATCTACCCATTTGTTAAAGATGTGATTTGTTTTTATTTTATATGCAGCTTTACAAAGAGAACGAGAAAAAGAGAGTCTTTCATCTGTTGGTTAACTCCCCCAAATGATTACAATGAATGGAGCTAAGGCGATCTGAAACCAGGAACTTCTGGGTGCCTTGCAGATGCAGTGTCCCAGGGACTGGGGCCATCCTCCACTGCTTTCCCAGGCCATAAACAGGGAGGAGGATGAGAAGTGGAGCAGCCAGGACACCAGCCGATGCACATCTGAGAGACCATTGCCACAGGTGGTTTAGCCTATTATAACTTGGCACTAGCCTCTAATCTATGCAATTTTAACGTTCACAAATATTTAACTTATACCTTAGTTTGAATTGAACAAAATGAGTAAGCATTCATTTTTGAAGGTTCTCAGCCCATTATCTTTTCAGTGACTGAGATATCTGCCTGGAAATGTTGTGTGGAAAAAGTTCAGTTAGCATAAAAAGGAGGTATATTAAGAGGAATCACTAGTGGAGGATATCCCAGACATAGAGTACTGATGACAAAAGTGGCACCAACTTTAAGAATCATTCAAAAACATCAGGAAGGGAGCCACTCTGAAGATACTATATCCTTGTAAAATGTACAGTTTTAATCTTATGTTCCAGAACCATAAAAAGTGCTTATTTCTTTTTTGCTTTGAATATAAAATTTAAAGACACTTAAAGAAATAAAGCTTATCATTAGAAAAGTATGAAGTATTCATGTGTCATCATCAGAATTACTACTCATGCATGTTGAGGTTTATTATCAAGTAAATCAAGTTTATTTAAATAATGAAATATCCTAACAGTTACTATGAAACAGCTGCTAAGTGATCAATGGGTAGGTAGTGTAAACCACAAGGATATACTGGACAAAGCTTGGGCAGAGGTGAGTGGGAAGGCACCAAGATTTCACCACATTATTCACAGTAGCACATCATTATAAGATAATTATTGTTTACTTTTTGTACTTTCCACTTAATATTTTTAAACAGTTATTGACCAGGGTAAATGAATCTTTATTAAGCAAAGCCACAGCTGGGGGCGATTACTGTATAAATATTTCAGTCCTCCCAATGAATTTTCTATTTCATGTTTCTTGAACCCAAAAGGCCTCCCAATGAGTAGGTTTGCTATTTTCCCTATTTTGTGCTCAAAAATGAACAAGTAGTAAAAATACAAAAGCAAAAAATAGGATTTGAATTCAGATCATTAAAAAGGTGTGCTCTCCTACATACTACATCACAAGGATCCACTGAGAGGCACAACACCGAGGCTAGGAGGCTACGAGGCTACCAGGGGCTGCGGGATCAAAGAAGATCCACTCTAAACTGACCCCTACTCACTGTTTCTAAGTTTCTTGTAACTAATGCTCAGCAACATGGTAAGACCCATTTCTGGATCAAAATGCTCCTGTAGTTTACACAGTACAGATCTGACACCAGGATTTAATGGGGATTGAGAGAAGGACAAAAAGACACACAGCCCCGGTAAGGACAAATAACTAAATAAGAAAGTTTTAAATGTTAAAGACTTGTTTATAGGTAACTCTTCTCAGTTACAGAATTACAACATTATATCTAAAGAGACTTCTTAGAGGCTGATGTAAAGATTCTCACAGTTCTGTTTCTATTTTAAATACAGAAAATCATAGGTGATATACATCTAAATGTATTCCATAATTATCTTCTAAAATTCCAGTTCTAAATCCTTAACCACGCATTACATTTTAAAGTAAAATGAATGCTTACACGTTTTTATGCATCTGTAGATATTTTCTCATTTCCTTCATTAGGGGTTGCTGTGTTTTGAAACTATCACAAGGATTCTTAATATGTGAACAGATCAAGCATATTTCTTTACTACTGTGACTATGATAACTCTCATGAATCAAGGGAAAGGTTTTACTGCCTTTACAAATCAAGAGTAAAACACAAATGTTAATTGAGTAGATTGATGATTAGATGAAGGAAAAATACGAAAGATGCCAACTCAGAATATGGCCAGTCATTTTGACTTGAATCATACTTCTCATACCACCTAATACTCCCAACAGCAAACCACCCAGAGCACCAACCCCACAAGGAGTCCCAAGTCGGCACTCAGACAACTTTTGCATTTTCCCTTGCAAGAATAAAGCTTGTAGCTTCTCTCCCTTATTGGCATAAATAACTGTTGAAAGAGAATTATTATCACAGAGAACAAGGGCAACTTCCACTCATTAAGAATTTTAAGTATTCACTCAAAGATGAAAATGTTTTCTCAAAGAAATGAAGTAACTAAGCCATCACACACATGTCAGTAAGAATCACCTCGTATTAGCCATTACAGATAACATCTTTTGGCATTAGCACTTTCTTAAAGTATTTTTGGCATAACACTGAATCCAATTCCTACACATAGATTCTTAGAGAGGCATGGACTAGTTGGGTTATTATGTTTGCGTAGCAGAAATAGGAAGAGAAGGTTTTAAATGTAGCAACTCGCTATTTTTGAGCTGCTCTTACTGACAGATATTCTGATTCCAGTGATTTTTCAGTAGCATGAAATAGCAGGCACTACATAGCAGAAATAAACCCATATATCATTTTCCTAATCCTTCTTATCTTTATAACAATATTCTTTTCTTTTTGTCAATCTAAGAGTTTTTTTTTTCAAGTAGAATTACAACCTTAGTCAAGTACCAGAGGCTGGGATGTGGCATCTCATAATGTGCTGAAGATACTCAAGTGAGTCTGAGAACTCGGCTTGGTTTAACTGGACCCTATTAGAAATGCTTCGTAACAGAAATGTTGCACTTAAATTAGCCATGACAAAGGCAACAAACTCTTTACTTTCCAAAAGGGACAAAAAGTAAAATAAATAAATAAATAAATAAATAAGCAAGCACTTACCTTTTGTAGCAATTCGTACACACTGGGTTTTAGTTTCCTGATGGGGGAGAAATAAAATAAATGGTAAATGTATTGGTGATACTTCCTGTTTTATAAGTTCTAACTGCTATGAAATTCAACCTGGTCTGGGGTCATCAAAACAGAAATATAAATACTCGAAGGACATTGAAAAGTGCACTTTTAACTTTAATAGGTATAATCAGAGAATTGTTTTAAAATCTTAAGTAAATCTTACAAAGCTAATAATCTAAACACGTTAATATTTATTTCATCTTGAAATGGAATTGAAAATTTGGGATGGGAGATATAACATGCTATGTGCATTTAATTTTACTTCTTAAACTATCAGGATGAAAAATGTCTGTGTGAAATGCTAATATAGATCAGATCTATTTTTTTTCAACCATTAGGTGTAGACTCAGACAAAAGTCAAACATTACATACTCTCACTTCAAGCATAACCAAGAGCTAAATGACATTCCTTAGGAAGATCATCAGAATACTGCACCACGGTGGCAAAATGCGATCTGGTATTTCTTTTCCTTAATTTCCTTGGCAGGAGTGAAAATAGCTTTCAGCCATTGACAGTTGTCCTCCTGTTCTACACAGGGGGAATAGAGGAAGCAGAAGCAGAGGCAGGGAAGCACAAGCATTATTAGTGTTATTTTTCTTTAATTTTGTGGAAAAGCAGGCAACAAATGTCCCTGTCAGCTACTGTTGAATGCATGCCTTGCTCCTGCAGAAATTCCTCTATTTCCTGTGTATCCAGGAATACCCAACAGTTTGAAACGAGTCAAGGCCAAGGACCAGAAATAAATGCAATTAATCTTCAGAATTCATTTAAAACCCCATGTTGAGTAGTTCTACGTGTCAATAAACCAGAGACGTCTTAAATTTTCTAGAAAGCATTTATTCTTAGGATAATACATAAAGGGGGGAGGCGTTTTTTTAAAAACTCATGAAGATCTATGCCTGTATAACTTAACTGTGACACGAGGTCTTCATAGAAAGCTGTGAGAGCATTTCACGTTCTAATAAAGGGCCAAAAAGATTTTAATTCCCTAAAAGTAATTTCTGTTAACTGTCTCAACAGACACTATCAGGCTCTGTTGTTGCTGGTCACATTGGGTTTGTTAAGTCTTGCCTGAGAAAACCGTGAAGCACATTTTTGCTAATCTAAACTGTTATGAAGCTCAGTTTACATATGTTAGCAATTAGAAAGAAAAATTCCTATTAAATCTAAAAGTTGCCAAAGAAACTCTTTGTACATAAAAGGCATTCATTAACAATGCTTTCATCCAAAGACCAGATAGCTGAAATTCATTTGAAACTTTCATCTTTCTAAGCACAGAACTATGCTTTCCACTTCCATGTCACTGTCTGCCCTAAACGGGTTAATAAAGTGGGCACTGGACTTTAATGATAACTACACTGCCCAGTTATGCAGAAAGGAACAAGGACAAGAGCATCCCAGCCTCTAGCTCGCAAGTATACCTCGGCAGATGCAACGGCATTTGTCTTTGCCATAGCCTGTGAGTCAACTCTGAGCAGAAAGACAAAGCTCGCATTCAAAAGCAGTTAATCAATGCTCAAGTTGTCCTGGCCCCTGAAGAAATGTAAATGAATTGTTATGTTTGCCAGTTAAATGAGCGCAGGATATAATATAACTGACACAATTATAAGTCACATATTTCACATCAGCTTCCCGGAGCCCACCTGAGGGACTCAATTAAACAAACCTAGCAATTTCTCACATAGCTACACATTCATAAATGCAATATTAGACTACTGGATTTTACATTGTGCAAATTCATTTCTTCAATATTTTTGCTGTGTTCCTCTGCCATTAAGTAAATAAATAAATAAGTTACTTTTAGGAAACAAAATCTTTCAAAGAGAACAGCATGAGCCCTGAAAAGCCAGGTCGTTTCCTCACATAAGGAACCATATGTGGCTTCTAAAGTCCTGTTGTGTTTTCTTCTTCAATATTCATTTGGGATCAGCAGCAGCAGCATTTGAGAACAACTGTGCTCAAAATGGGAAAAGGAGGGGCAACCAGGGAAATGGAACTCAGACTCGGGTAATGGCGCAGCATCCGGCCCTCGCCAGGTAGCCTTCAGTGTGGGTTCTGTCAGGTATACCACAGGTGCCCTATTACTTTGTAATCAGCAGATCGTTCCTTGTTATTTACTATGTGGCTTGTGACCCCTGAAAAGTTTATAAGGGTTTATTAGCCCGGTGTGGAACATGCATTCTGTTTATCCTGTAGAAAACTTCATCTTTCGTAGCTTGCCGCTACCGAAAAGGAAGATCGAACAACGCTGGGTAAGCAGATGGAGTTGGGCAACAGCAACCCACCTTTTCAACTCATTTTACGCACAATTGCTATTGTGGATTTTCCTAAAGAAGGCTCCAGTTGAGGCAGTTACTAGGAAACAGAAATCCCGGGGAAAAAGTGGCATGTAGCCCTCGCCTGACAAAAAGGCTCCCAGTCACACACTGTGAAGAACAGAAACAATACTACCTACACACCAGTATTTAAAAAAAAAAACTTCACTCTGATTTTGCCTGACAAATGCTACCATTATTTATACAATTTGAGTCCATTTTGTTTTTCTCCCAACAGTGAAAAGGCACATTGTGCAGGAAGCCCACCTTCTCCACACTGCTCATGGCCTGAAAATAGATGTTGTATCCCTTGCGGGGAGCCAGAGGGGGGTTCCAAAAACCTTGATATGTCCTGTTGTCCCCCACTGTGAACGGGGCGGGTTCCGGGAGGTTTCCAGGTGGGAGTTCTGCCGCAAAGTAATAAGGCGCCCCCCCGCTCATGGCATGTTGGTAGGTCACAGGAATCTGGTAGCACTCCATGGCCCCTGCTTCTCTCTTGGTTCGGTGTGGGTGCAGCTCCTCCACGACGATCTGATAGGCACTTTGGAAAACAAAGAAAAAAGGCTCAAGTTCAGAGACTGGAGACACGAAGTCTTAAAATGCAAAACAAATGGTTACATGAGAACATGTCCCACATACAAGTATTTACATTCAATCTTAATCCTTGTTGTCAACTATGTTGCAATAAAATAGAATTTCATTTCACCTGGGTTCTGCTTTCTTAAGATCATCAGAGTCCGTAAGGAATTTGAAAAGAAACACCACCACAGAGCTTGTCATATTTTCAAATGTGGAGAAAGAAGTCACCTGAACAAGGACCTTGCCTTGAATTGGTGACACGGCATGGATTCAGTTCTTTGATATTTTAACGTGCTTAACCTGAATATTTTCTCTCAAAATAGTATTAGGGACAGCCCAGCTCCAAGGCCCAGCAGAATGGCTGCCTCGGGGCAGTGCCGGGAGCCAGGGTTTGCAGTTGTCACAGCCTTTGAGACAGAATGCACTGACAAGCGTCTCCCCCTCTTGACCCTGCCTCAGCAGCCGTGCTGGCTCAGGGCTGTGCAGATCTAAAGTACAAGTGACATGCGGAGATACAGCACAGATGGACAGAAATCTGTCCTCGCCAGGGAAATAGACCTCTCCGTTTTCTGGAGTTGTTAATAGTAATATGTTACAAATTGTAGAAACAGATGGCTTTTGGCCTATTAAAGCTCTAATCGACACCATCGAATACATTTATTAAAATACTTAGAAGTTTTCTACAATAGCTATGACTTCTACATTAGAAAGTAGGAAAAAATTATTAAGTTTTCTCTGTCTGTCTTTTATCAATTTTAAAAGCTTTAAAAACCAATATATTTTAGAAGAAATCATTGATCTACATTTTTTAAAAGGATATATATAAGTTGTTATTAATGTATGTTTCATATCATATTTGAAAGCAGTATATGTCTGCCAAATTTTCTGAAAACTAAGAGCATAATGCCTGTGAGGTCAAAAAAAAGTTGTTTAGAGGGGCTGCAGGTTCAATCTTGACTGTTTAAGAAAACATGATTCTTCTGCATGGACAGCAGTCATTGTTCAAGGACTCGCCAGCAAGAATAGTGTATTTTCTTCTATAGATTTCAACCCCACAGAGTGAGATACAGAGCAGAAACTAGGGAAGTTTAGGAGACAAAGAAACTGAATTTCATCATAAGAAAATTACATAGCTTGTAATCTGGTACAAAACTCCAGCTTAATATAAATTCTTGCCACTCTTAGATACAAAACCTTCATGGACTGAAAGCAGATTAAACAGAGAGCAGATTAATTAATGAAAAGAAAAGATTAAACTAAAATGAACTTATAAGCTAACGTTTCTTTAGTTCTCTTAATTTTTCTGGTTCTTATTTTCCACAAACACATTGCTAAGACATGGGTAGGCTGGCATTTGCCTTCGTTCCTTTAGCAAGAGGAAAGAAACAATTATTTGAGCAAGCAAGTAAAGCTGAGGCCTGCATTATTTCAAATATGTGCACTGCCTCATTCCCCTACACCGCTGCCAGGGTGGGTCGCTAAGCTTCCGAGAATGCTACTGACAAGACGCATATTCGCTGAGGGATGCACAGAGCAGACACTTGCCAATTTTAAAAATATGGAAAAATATGTAAGCAAAGACCTCGCAAAAGAAGAAAAGAATGATCATATTTGACATATGCCATGTTCAGCAAGTGTAGCACTTTCTCATTTATTTTTCATTTAAAATTCTGATTTCTCTGTTAACCACTTGCCTATCCTGAGGATACATCCACTTGTGCAATAAAATCATACATGTGATACAACAAACCTAACCCTACATGCTTTCCCTAATTACAAAAAACAGGGTTAAATAATTTTATTAAGAGTTAAGTAATTCTATTTTAGGGGAGGGGGTCTACAGATGTTAAGATGTTTCAAGCAAGATAGCTTGAAACTGCTGATCAATTAGAGACACAGCAAAGTGCCAGTGTCAGAGAGTAATGAAGGAAGAAAAAAGTGATGTTCTTTGAGAAGAACTGAATATGATTCTACACAAGATTTGCACTGACGTTTCAGATTTAGCACTATTCTTAATGATATGAAAGATTAATGAATATAAGAAAATAACTCAGATATAAACACAAATACTGTATGGAAATAATATTTTTAAATGATTTATTTTTATTTGAAAGGTAATTTTAGAGTGAGAAATAGAGTGAGATCTTCCATCTACTGGTTCACTTCACAAATGGCTTCAATAACTGGAGCTGTGCCCATCTGAATCTGGGAGTCAAGATCTTGCTGTGGCTCTCCATATTATGGCAGGGCCAAGGGCTTGGGCTCCTCTTAGGTGCCTTCCCAGGCCAACCACAAAGAGCTGGATAGGAAGTAGAGCCACCTAAGACTTGCACTGGCTCCCTTATGCAGTGTTGGATCCCCCGCTGGAAGCTAGGCTAGCTATGCTAATATCGGCAGGTATGATCTTGCATTTTAATTGTGTAATACTAATATATATTTCCTTTGCTAATAACAGTAATATATATATATATATATTACTTTACACTTTGGATTGCCATGGAATCAGTGATGTGCTACAACTGAGAATCCGAGGAAAAGGCTAAATGGGTCTCCTATAAGCCATGGACCTACATTTTTCTTTCTCTATTTCCCCCCTACATTTCTAGAGTATGACGGTCTATAGCTCCTTAAGATTCACATTATTAAACCTCTAACTCCAAGGTGACAATATGTGGAGATGGAGCTTTTGAAAAGTAATCAAATAAGATAAGCAACCCTCAACAAAGAAATAATTATGACAGCACTTTGACCTTGTACTTCCCTGCCTCTTTGCTAAAGTATTACCCAGTACATCTGTTATAGAAATCTGAGCAGAATAAGAAATATACAAACAGATGGAGCATTCTGAAAACTGGCATATTCCAGGCATATTCTCTGAAACATACTTGGGATAATTTTCTGTATTATAGTTAGCACGTTGATTGGAATGCCTGCATATTGCAGTGTCTGAGTGTAAGGCATAGCTTCCTCTCAAATTCACTGCTCTGCTCTAACAGCCCTAGAAACCAACAGGTGAAGGCTCAGCCACCCATATGGGAGACCTGGAGTCAGTGCCTGGCTCCTGGGTTTTGTTCTGTCCAGTCTCCACCAATGTTGACATTTGGAGAGTAAACCTGTGGATGAGAGATTCTCTCTCTCTCTCTGACTTTCAAATAAATAAATAAAAGCAATAAAAAAAAATATAGTTTCTGCAGTGATTAACATCCGATGGCTCAATGTGGAGATCTCCACACTCCACGTTCATCCACTCTGCCACTTTCTAAGCGTCTTCATGATATACAATTTAGCTCAGTTTCTGAACACATTTTAATTCTTACTGATTCACCAGCCATCATGCTTTTAATCAAGTGTGGTATCAAATACCACAATGGGCACTTGGTAAGTATTTGTAGAATAAATTCAATTTGCTATTTTTATTGACTTTTTGCTCAGTTAGGACACACAAAGTACTCCTTTGCTTTACTCAGAAGTACTGCTACATCTTAAAAAGTTCTGAAAACAATTTGAAAACTGCAGTTCCTCAACCAACTTTGTTTTTGTTACATTGAGTCCATTTATTTATACTTGATCATTGAAGCTTCCATTGTAGGCACAGAGCATAGAGTGATGAAAGATGGTTGCATCTTTCATGGACTTCACAGTCACATTTCATTGGTAAAATTTTGAAAGTTCTACCATTGTTATAGTATTTCTGTCCCCTTATATAGCTTAACATAACTGCAAAACCCAAAATATCCACCTATTGTAAAAATCCTCTTTATTTATAGAACTGTGATTGTCCTTGCAAACACTGAAAGTGACAGAAGCAGTCATCCAAAGGTAGATTTTTAGTAATCTTAAATCATCTCCCATATTCTATTTTTCTGTACTGTCAAACCTGGCTGAAACTGTACTGTCCTTCATCTATAATAGCTAAGCAAGGAAATATCCCTTTCCAACTTAAAATCTTGACTCACTTGTCTGCTACACTGTCATTTTTCATTTTCGAACCCCCTCCCATGCCACCTTCTCAACATACTGAAAATAGAAATATGTCTCTCCATATAATGATACCATTCAAAGCGCTCCAGTGGCACTTCACAGTCATTAGTTGGGCTCAGGCTTCAATCAGCTCCTTTCAGAACACATCACTACGCATCTATTTTCCTCTTTTTTATGCACTTTGAGAAGGTCTACATGTAACTTGCACTGAGATAACTGAAAATATGGTGACTCCTTACAAAGTGTTGACACTTACTGAAAAGTGGCCACAGAGATAATCAAAAGTCACTTTAGGGAGAAAGCTCATCACCGTAGATGGAAACCAAACTAATATCAACAAATTTCACAATTAAAAAAATCCTTTCCAACATTTCTTCATTTGAGGTTTCTCCAAACACATTTCCACTTTCAAAACTCTGTTTTTATTCTTATAACATTCATTCATAACAATAATATTAGCTAAAGCACAGAAAGTAAAAAATCAAAATTCACATGAGAAATGATTTGACTGGTTACATAAAACAGGCCTTTGCTTCTTCATCCTTGTGGTTGCGTTATTACCTACTGGCATTTAACTCTAGCTAGATCCAAAACTTACTCTGGCTTAAGACTCCAACAACCAAAAATATTCCCAAGATACCTTACTATGTTAATTTGCTGTGCAAATATTTCATATCTCCAACATTCATCTTTAATGTAAACTATTTCTATAATTAAATTAAAGCCAATATACCAATATCCTGTCATTATGCACCTTCATTTAATACTCAAAAGGTGAATTTCTCAGGTATAAACCATTTGCAGAGCACTTATCCCACATACATAATTACCTTGACTGAACACTGGTACACAGACACTGAGGTTGTACTCCTCCAAGTACAATTTCCCTTCAACCAAAAATACACACTGAGGGATGATAACAATGGCTCAGAAAAAGAACAAAACATTCTATGCTAGGCATGGTGCGTGATCTTCTGCATT